GAAGAAGAAGAAGAAGAAGAAGAAGAAGAAGAAGAAGAAGAAGAAGAAGAAGAAGAAGACGAAAAAGAAAAAAAAAAAAAAGACGAAAAAGAAGAAGAAGATGTGTTGATCGAAGAAGAAGACACACCTTGCGTTCCTCACCTTTGCATTATGCAAACCCGTTGCTCTGTTGCTTACGGTGAAACTTTGTGTGTTCGGCAACTTCTTCGACTCCCCATTCGCAAGCAACGACTATGCGGTTGGCGCCAATGATTTTCCAATGCTACCATTCCACAAAACTCCGTACGGGCGAGAACGTTTATTATTACGAGTCGTAAAATTCGGCTATAGAGCCTGTCGAATAGGTGTTGGAGTACAAAGACAGACACAAAATGGAAGATCGACATTTTGTTGTCGTCGTTGAAGACGAACAAGTGATAAGACTAACAACAGAGACTTGCATTCATCATCATGCCATCGACCACATTCGGGTGCTCATGTCCAGGCCTACTACGTACTTCAATAGCCTCGTTCTCAATGACGAGGGACAGTGTATCGGGACGGTGTGTGACGGCTTGTTGAAAGTGCGCCATATTTTGTTTGCAATGACGAGGTTTTATCGGCCAGGTTCATTCCATCGTGTGAGATTCGACGTTGACTTGCGCAGCAATGCTTGCAGATTATCCGAACCACAACTCGGAAATGGATCGGCATGCGCGGGCTCGTGCACCCGACGACGACGAGGAGTCTGTGAACCGAGGGCGCCAAGTTGTCCGCAGAGGGACGATGCGTGGATGAATGCAGTGCAGATTCATTGCAGTCTCGTTCGTCGAGACTACAGAGACCTACGTGGGATTGGACGAGAGGATGGATGATTTTTCATGACTCCAGTGACATACGAGAGAGAGAGAGAGAGAGAGAGAGAGAGAGAGAGAGAGAGAGAGAGAGAGAGAGAGAGAGAGAGAGAGACGGATGGAGATGAAGAGAGAGATGTTCGTATTATTTTGCATGTATCAATTTTGCCACAGGGGCACATATCTACATATGATATATTTTTTTCTCTCTCTCTCTTTATATATATATATATATATATATATATATATATATATATTCACAACCGGTTATCACAAAGTATATAGTTCGTATGGAGAGAGAGAGAGAGAGGGGCGGATGGAGATGAAGAGAGAGATGTTCGTATTGTTTTGCATGTATCAATTTTGCCACAGGGCCACATATCTACATATGATCTCACTCTCTCTCTCTCTATATATATATATATATATATTCACAACCGGTTATCACAAAACATATATACAACCGGTTATCACAAACTATATTCACAACCGGTTATCACAAACTATATTCACAACCAGTTATCACAAAGTGTACACAAAACATATATACAATTAGTAAACATGAAAAGCAGCTCTCACAACCAGTTCAAAAATTCCAATAATTTCTCACAAAGTTCAAAATTACAACCAGTTCAAAGTTACAACCAGTTCGAACAACCAGTTCAAAATTACAACCAGTTCAAATTGAGGACATAACATTCTCATGATTATGACGACGACAATGGGCATCGATGTAGTACGTGACACTATCACTCCTGTGCAACGGACACCTCCTGCGAAAGCACGGCGCCGTCGAAGTCGAGGCGGTGAGCGGCACCATCGTTGTCAGAGTCGGAAGACGACTTTTCGTCATCTGAAGCACTTTCGCTTCCCGCCTCTACGAAAACATTGCCACCTTCGGCCACAACACCCTCCACCGCACTCTCAACGGCATCAGGGAGTCCATAATCGGCTTCCTCATCATAATGCTCAATAACTGGATCGTCGACGTCCGATTGCTGCAACATGTTACGTGCCCAGTCTCCGACCCGAGGGCTGCCGAAAACTTCAGTTGCAATGTCGAAGCGCCACGACGTATCCCGTGTGGCATATATATGCTATCGTGCGGAACGACGTTGATGGGTTACGTTTGTCGGTTTGCGGAAGACTGTGCGCAATCGCCTGACTCTTTTGTTTTTGTTCCACTCCAAAGCGGTGCAACATATGCGCGCCTCATACGACTTGGGGAAGTTCGGGCGTTTCGTTGCGTACTTGTTGATCACGGAGTGGAAGCACTCGTTGTTGAAGGTCATCCTCACACGTGTGTAGTACGCCATCTTCGTATTCGAAGCGAACTGTTCAAGACAGAGCACGATGGCCAAATGAACACGTGCCCCCGCCTCGTACAATGGCTCTCTGTCCGGACCCCCGGCCGCTTTGCACAGGTTGGACAACTCCTTATCGCAACGGGAATGATCCCCGACCCAATGATTGGCGAGGTGTTGCACATGAGTGGCCAACACATCGCCATCGTCATCCTTTGCTCGCTCGCGCACCCTGCAAGCGCCGTACAACCACTCCTTCGCCTCCTCCGCCGCATTGCAATGCAGTGTTTGCAACGCGTCAATCTCAACGACATCATCTGGCAACGCTTTCCCTGCTTCATTGGGGAAGAGCACACCCCAAACAATCTCAACGAGTTCATCCTTTTTTTTCGTGGACACCCCTGGCACATGTACACATTTCGTTTCGAGCAAAAGTTCGAGCTCCTTCTTTGTGAAACACTTCACCTCGCGCACATGCTCGCAAGCCCCGACCACAACTGGTTTGACAGTCTTCGTGCCGCGCACAGCCTCTCGCAAGCGTTTGACCAAAGTCTTCGCCTTATGCCACATACACTTTTGTGAGTCAATATTCATTCGCCGCAATATGACGTCAACCGCGCCACAATCATCATGCACAACCTTTGCGATTATGAGGTTCTTCTCGTCCTTCAACCGATGAAGCAGTTTTCCCACACACTGTGTCTCCAGCTTCCACGACGACTCGTTCCCCCGGAGCATGGTCTCCGTCCCCACGATCATTCCTGACTTCAAATCCATCGCCTTTACCGTACAATGCTGAGCGTCACGAGATGAATCGTAACGCCCGTCCACCAAAACGACGACCGGATCGTTCGACCTACGCAATCGCGCGATGACCTTGTCGAAGCTCTTTTGCGTAACCCGTTCGACGTGTCGCAGCCACTATCGGGAACTTGGGCCATCATCACGGAAAAAATTATAGAAAGTTTTTTTCCTAACCTTCTTCATCCCTAAGCCCTGCAACAGCTTATTCAATTGAGTGTAAGTCATTCCCACAGTCAAAGTGGAGTGGAACAATTGAGTCTCAACCCTCGAATTTATCACCCCACCCGGTGAAACAACCTTCGCGGAACTCCAGTGCCAAGTGCACCCTTTCCCGCACTCGAATTGCAACTTGCAAATGTGACATGGATAATAGATCTTCTTGATCGTCTCCTCCACGTCTTTCCCGTGCTGAGGACACGTTTGCTCGAACATCCCGAGAATCTGTAGAAGCTTCACTGGCTCAATAAAAACGACATCAGATCTTGCCTTAGTATCCCACATGGCCATTTGGTTCCTCACGGTCAATCTTTCAAACATCGGACCATTATCCGGATATCCCGGCTTACCGTCGCGCCATTTCAAAGCGTCACTGCAAGGGCTGCCACCTCGCGACTTCGGTGTCGTCGTTGCATCCGATCCTTGTCCGCATGAACTCCCATGGCCAGATGATTGCTCGTCGGGGCCGTACTTTGACATCAGTTCATCAATGTGAACGGAACTCCACTCCAGGAGCTGATCGAACATGTCCTCGTACGAACAATGATTTTTCTTCTTATCTTTGGAGCCGTGAGTGCGAGTCGACAACTTCTTCCCCATCGCCTTCGCAATCTCACTCTTGCGATTTTGCTGATCGAGTCTGCATCGCACCCAACGAGGCTTGCCTTCACGAGGTGTACTGGACCTCGAACGGGGCGACCGAGGCGAGAAACTCATCCCAGCCTCGCTATCATTAGACGGGGAAAGAACATCGCGTGCACGGTTGGTGGAAACCGGAGTGCATGATGTCGGCTGCACTGCTTCGATCGGCGAACGTGTATCTTCTGTTTGATGAACGGGATCCGACGCAAGAACACCCGCAACGGACATCGCTCCGGAGTTGTCATGGCCCGAAGACGGGAACGACCGCGGCAAACCAAATGGATGCGCGGCGTCCGAACGACTTTGTTGAACACCGCACATGGTCTGACTTGCGGACCAAGGCGTCGGCAACATCGCTGCGAGAGAGCCCATGGGCGAAGGAAATGGAGGACGAGAAGAAACCACAGCGGATTGCGCAAACGGAGACGTTGCGGGATCGCCAACGAAAGTGGGGAGAGTCGGGATTGCAGCAATGGTTACGCGCATGTGACTCAGGAGAGGAGTTTGTGTGACAGTTGTCGAATTCAGCAGAGGAGGGAACGACAGAACTGCCATTCTGTCATCCAAACGCTGCCTGGTTGCAGGTCTTTCCAATATACAATCCGTTCGAGTACGTCCGCGTGGATCCAAAAGCCCTCTCCCCCGACCGTGTGAAATATCATGGTACACCGGAGAGTCTTGCAAAGAAGAGAGAGCGCGTGAGGTGGATGGAGATGAAGAGAGAGGAGTAGGAAGCAACGGGGATTTCGACGACGACGGCAAAGCTGCAAGAGGTTGTTGGCGGTCCATGTTGATGCCCCTGCTCTATGGATGCGGAAGGCCAGACGCACCAGCACACGCGAAAGCACAGTATCACGGATCACGACTTGCGTCCCAACATATTATATATATATACGCAAGAACCAACGCTGTTGACGACATGTACACAATCGCACCTGATATCACAAGTGTGCCGCTCGATTTCTTCCTCTACACCGCATGATCCGGGTTCATTGCAATACCAATATATATATATATATATATATATATATATATATATATATATATATATATATATATATAGAGAGAGAGAGAGAGAGAGAGAGAGAGTTGCCAGGCCGAACGTACGGAGGCCCCTAAGCTGACCCCCGAACGTTCGGGCGTTCGGGTACCCGTACGGGGCCCGAACTCGAAGGGATTTGGATGGGTGCAAAAAATTATTCTGGTACCTAAAAATTATTATTGTTTTCTGATTTTTTTTTTGTGAGTTCTCTGTTATGTAAGCCATGTGACTGTCAATTTTGAAGTTATTCTGTAATGCCAAACATTAATGAAAAATCGCCAAAGATGGCGGTATAAAAAACTAGCTCGCCCACGCAATATTTTCATTCTTGTTTTCATCAATATTTTTTATTTTTTGTATTTGTTTTTTATTTTAAATTTGGTAAGGAATTTGGATTTACTATAAAGGCAAATGTTATTTAATTTATTATTCTGCATGACATATTATTTTTTCTATATTTTTGAAAACCTTTTTTTTTTTTTTTTTTTTTTTTTTTTTTTTTTTTTTTGCGTTCGACCGAACGGCCGAACGCGTCGAGAGGGGGTTCCAAACGTTCGGGCGTTCGGGTTCGGGTGTTCGGCCCTTCCCAAACGCCATCACAAACAGATTCATGATTGTCAAAAAAGAACCCAGTTGAATTTTTTTTCCCTTTCTTTCGGCAAAAAAACTAAAAAAAAATTACAAATGCAAAAAAAAATTGTTCTTCAACATATATATATATATATATATACGACGAAAGAAAGGGAATAAAATTTTCAACTGGGTTCTTTTTTGACAATCATGAATCTGATCTGGGTTCATTGCAATACCTGTTTGTGACGATATATATATAAATAAATATATATATATATATTTGTTTTCTTTTTTGTTTATTTCTTGTGCCCAAAGAAAGGGAAAAAAAAATTGAACAGGTTTTTTTTTTTTTGACAATCGTCTTCATGATCTGGGTTCAGTGTGTCGAGTCAGCTTGTCGAGGGTTCAGCCTCCTTATGAGTCCGTCAAACTCCGACGAAACAGTTTGTCACACGCCCCTCGTTTGTTGTCCTCTTCTCTCTCTATGCCAACGGTTTACCGGGCACTTCTGTTTGTGACTATATATATATATATATATATATATATATACAGGGTTACCATCCCGTACGTATGGAGGCCCCCGGGTGGACCTCCGTACGTTCGGGCGTTCGGGGTCCCGTACGGGGCCCGAACCCGACAGCGTTCGGCCCCCGCCAAAAACTATTTTGGGGCCTAAGAATAATTATTTTTTTTTTAATGTTTTTCTATGAGTTCTCTATGACGTGAGGTACATGCCTATAAACTTTCAAGTCATTTCGCTTAGCGAAATAAGAATTAAAAATCGCCAAAGATGGCGGTGTCAAAACGTGCTCGCCCACGTTTTTTTTCACGTTTGACTTTTTGTTTTCACTTTAGTTCGAGGTCTAGACAATTTTATTATTTTTTGAAACTTTTTTAGTGGGTTTTGTATTATGTGAAGTACACATCTGTAAATTTCCAGGGCATTTAGATATACTTAAAAGAAATGAAAAATCGCCAAAGATGGCGGTGTCGAAAACATGCTCGCGCACTCACTAAATTTAATTCTCTTTTTATTTTTATTTATTTTTATTATTAATATTTGTT